TTACATTACACATTATTATTTATGTATCTCCCCTTATGCATCATGCAGATAATCAATTAACGCTTAATCAATTAATTCATTGATTAATTATTTATTAAGTTTACATTACACATTATTATTTGTGTATCTCACGCAGATATTCAATTAACGCTTAATAAGTTAATCAATTATTTCATTGATTAATTATGATTCTCGAACTCTGGCAATAATTTTTTTCCGCGTTGTCGGGATTACCTCTAACAACTTATATATATAGGAAACTCTATAACAACTCTAACCTCCATCATGTCCTCCGTGTAGACGTATAGCAACAGGCCGGCCATCTGCGGTGATAGAGGCGGCACTTTGGTGCAAGCTATCTTTAAGGCAAATTTAATTCCATCAACGACAGCCATCTTAAGCGTGGAGCATAATCTCAAGTAGCAGCTCTGTGATGAGTTTTTGTGACTGCGAAACACGTTGTTAAGAATATTAATTAATGACGTAATTATAATAGACGCAGTTTAATTTCTTTGCGTGAATTTACCGGCTGAGTATGAAGAGAAGTATGTGAGTGAGAGTATGTGAGTGAGTATGTGAGTGTATATGTGAGTGAGTATGTGAGTGAGTATGTGAGTGAGTATGTGAGTGAGAGNCACCCCTGATATAATTATAAACATAATTATCATTATCAAGAGCTAATAAATACTAACAGGAGCTAATAATGACAAATTTGTCATTATAACCTCCTGATACTAATAATTCGATATTTATTAGCTCTTGATATTATAGCGAATTAATATTATTATATTTAAATATTAAATATTATTAAATATATTAATTATATATATATTAATGTACAATGTAAGAAGACAGGAATTTGTTAGAAGTGCAAATTGCGGACATTCTTCGATAGATGGCAGTATCGATGCACACACAAGCCGAGCGAGATTATTCAAGTTGATCTCATTTGGTTGTTGCTGATGTAAATGTTTTCCTCAGAGTCGTTATTTGTAAGTAGTGAGCTTGACTTGGATCAATAATTCTATAAATCTGTTATCTCTGACGTCTACGCAAGTTCAGTTTACCTGCTGCTACGATGTGGTTCAATCAATCTGGGTGTCACTTNGAGAGTATGTGAGTGAGTATGTGAGTATGTGAGTATGTGAGTGAGTATGTGAGTGAGAGTATGTGAGTGAGAGTATGTGAGTGAGTATGTGAGTATGTGAGTATGTGAGTGAGTATGTGAGTGAGAGTATGTGAGTGAGAGTATGTGAGTGAGTATGTGAGTATGTGAGTATGTGAGTGAGTATGTGAGTGAGAGTATGTGAGTGAAGCAAAACACGGTAGACTCACAGTTTATAGTACAAAATTCCAGCAATTACGGTTTGGTTAAAACTCAAACACTGACTTCAACCCGGCCTTCATTCACTTCCGGTAGTATCTCTATAAGCGTAAGTCGCAATAAACATAGCCTTCACTTAACACTAACTCAAACAATAACTAACCTTACAGTTATACTAACTAATTATAACATGAACCCTTACCGCAACCACCACGGGAACCACCGCCGCTTCAATTCCAGACGCTAAAACTACTATCTGCAGAGGAGCTGAACTCTATATATGAATAGGAGGTATTTCCGTTGAGGGAATTACCGAGATTATAGTAACGCTGTAGAAGGCTGTGGCGTGGCCCTGCCCTTCCGGGAAGAATTCCTCAATCAGGCATTTGTTCCAAATATACACATGCAACACACATGCATACACGTAGCACACACGTACGCACGCACGCAAGCAAGCACGCACTGTGTACGAAAGCGCGCACCGATGCGCACACATACGCGCACGCACGCACGCACGCACGCACACGCGCGCGCTTACACACACACACACACACACACACACACACACACACACACACACACA